TGCAGGGATATACAATCGGTAGAAAGAAGGGCAGAATTTTTTATATGGACGAGTCTGATATCCGATAAAATTCCCCGCACCATTAAACACAAACTGCAGGAACTGAATTTATGTTTCTGAAATTTGCAAGAGACATTGATATTTGTGGCACAAATACTGAACATCAGTCCTGAATTTTATATTGAATGATGTAGGATGATTTGATCTGGGTATGTGTGTGCGCGAGAGCGTGCTTGTGCATGTGTGTGTGTGCGTGTGCGTGGAGGCTTTGGTGCATTTTTAAAGTGTTGCATACAAAACACGAGCTTCGACCTCATCTTAGACCCGGCCACGACTTTCTAAGAAAACCCAGCCTCCAAGTGCAGAATTACCGACATTGTTTTGACCAGAGAAATTATATATTTGCTTACCCTTCTGACAGCACGTGTCCACTGGTCATCGGTTCATAATAAGCTTTAAGAAAGGTTAATTCAGGCACCATAAGTGATCAATCATAACTTCACGATGTAATCAAGTTCTGATCAATAGCAGTTAGTCTTCTCCGTTGTTATTTTGGTGTCTGTTCAATCAGTTGTCTTAGAAATAAAGTGAACGGTTTATTTCTTGTCAAAAATAGAACAGGAAACATTTAGTTTTTTGTGAATTAAATATAGAACTTTTTAAAAAATTATTTCATTTGACAAGTAGCAACAAACAGGTGTTAGAGACAAAGCGCGGAGGCTCTTCATAGCGAAAAATGACAAGAACTTCTGTCCCCCGGACCTGTATTCAAATAAATACGTAAAAAAAATCAGAAACTAATTTATAAACATTACATAAATGGGTCGTCCTTCTTGTTCTTAAAAAGATTTCCCACACTAAAATTCCCCTGCCCCTGTTTCCAAAAATAAATAAATAAACAAAATGATAAAAAAATAAAAAAACACGTTTGAAAATGCACTGTGTATCACAACGAATCCCAGAGAGCATTTGCAGTGCCTTTTCTTATCTTTTGCTTCCTCTCGACACTATGTAAAGCTAATTACCATACATCTGTTGACGCATAGGGGATATTAGTTTCTACAGTGTAGCACACGTTTATACTGTATTTTTGCCTTTAAAAAAGGAATACCGTGCTCGTTATAACCCACTAAAATGCTTTGAGTTAGCATTAAAGTACTAAAAGTGGTACATTTTACTGTCTATTTTGCTGAAAACATTCCGAAAGCATTGTGCCAAATGTGTGTAATTATTTGCGTGTTTGTAAATATATATAAATCAAAGCACAGAGAGGGGAGCCTATCTCGAAACACTCAACACTGAAAAATTTTCTGTCTTACAGTATTTTTTATTTGTACTGAACGATGCTCCTCAGACTATGTTTTATTATTATTTTCCTTTTATATCAATTTCATATATTTTTTGTCTTCCATTTTAGTTTTATTCTTTGTGTGACAAAGAGTTTTTTATCATTACCATTTACCAAACAGATGAAACTTTAAAAACATCTTTGCTTTAATATTTTTATCATCCAAAATGACATCACCTTTGAATAAGCCTCTGTATGACATATATGGTACCCGTTCTCAACCTTTTCAGAGTGCTGTACCCGCCTGTATGGGTACAAGGGACTCTCTGACCACAGAGTGCGCTAAAGGTCTGTTGCAAAATTATTTTCTATGCTTAATTTTTGTATACTTCTTAAGAGGCCCCAGATATCAGAGGGTGAGTAAGGATAAGAGTCCTTTAACACTCCGGTTAAACAGAAGGCTTCATTCATCCATATTTGATCGAGCGAGTAGCTAATATAGCTAAATTAAATGAAGATTCGGGAAGCGATTTTGATGATTCTGTCCTACACGAAGACCTGACTCTTTGTTCAAGTTTGATTGCATTAGACAAAAATCCATTTGCTGTTCACTTGGCGACCACATGTCCCGTTGTTTAAGACGTCTGTCCAATAAATCTATATTATAGCAACTTATAACTAGCAGTTTTTATAAACACGGTACCCGGTGGTAGCAAAAATTTTCAGTCGTCTTATAATTAATCAACCCGTTTATTTGTGAACCCATCCATATTTAACAGGGATCATCAAGTCAACGAATAACCAATGGCGAAATTAATTAATTTGGATCTTCTTTGTTGAGAATTCTATAGCTTTAGAATATACATGTGTGTTGGCTTGGGGATGATAAAACAGGTGCTTGTCGTAGATAGCATTGGACTGCTACGGCAAAGCGAATGAGTTTCCTGGAAGAATGATGCTAGAGATAAAGCTCTGGTCAATACTGAAAGACGAAATATTTTCATAATATCATATCTAAATTAATGGAGGAAATGGCTGCATGAGACTATCCATCTGTATGCGTTCCGACTCATATGTAGTGAACATTTTGCCATGGCGTGGGCGAATTATTGACATAAATGGAATGATAGGGATTAAAAATTCCTTATTTTATTATGCGTTCAGTAGCAGGATTTCATTTAACTTCGACCGTATACTTTCAATATTTAACTGCAAAACAATAGATGCTTTACATAAAAACTTCATTTTTAAAGTAGTTGAAGTAGCTCGCATGAAAGCTTTAGTGACCAATAGTATCAAACATATTTTACAAGATAAATTAATTGTCTTTAAGAAAATATATGTAATATTTTGTAGTATACAACAACATTATGTTTCTTTAGATGCAAAGAAATTTGCTCAAAATTAACGAATTGAGAAACAGATAGGCTATGGTGAAAATAAACCTCCTCCATTTTCAATTTGGTCGTTTGTGAAGCCTGCAGAGGTCAAGGGCCTTCAACATATCTTGCTTGAACTCTATCTCAGGTCGAATAAGAGTAACTGTGAATGCTTATGGAAGCACAAATACCAAAAACAATTCATTGAACATACAGTCCGAACAACGCTATGTTCAAAATAACTGCAAAATTTCATATAAATTTGGTTGACACTTTCCATCTAACGGATTATTGGTAATCAAGATTCATAAAACCTTCCTAAGGAAAGTAATAAATCCACCAATATGAAAACAAACATCAATTGTAGTCAAAGGCCTTCCTCGGCATTTATTCTCCAATTTTCTCACTTCATTGCCTCTTTGGCTGATTGAGGCCACATATCTATAGTCAGCTGGTCAAAGAGGAAATATAGTAAGGAAATCTTGAAATACTGGTTAGGGAACGCTTTTGGTCGGAAAGTTTAAATTAGTGTCTATTCTTCTATTATATCGCACTGTTTGTTTTATGGACCAAAGGAAGATTTTGAAAGAAAGATTTGGGTAAATTCTATGCAATGGGATGTTCGTTATTTAACAGAATGTTCTTGGAAAAGACATTTCGTAGAAATTTGCTACGCCATACAATCCTAAGAAAATGGGGGGAATAGGATTTAAAGCGTGTGGGAGACAGGAGCTAAGTGGAAAATTTACTAAGATTAATTGAATAAAGCGTATCTTGTACGAATGAAGGAAAATGGTCCTGATGACCGAAATCCAAAACCTTAAGGTTGAGAAATTTTGAATGTCCTTAACGTAACTGACGAGACAGCTCTGATATTAACAGTTGGAAGAATCTGTCATTATTATTATTATTATTATTATTATTATTATTATTATTGACGAAAAACGAGACAGCTCTGATGTTTCTGACGAGACAGCTCTGATATTAGCTGTTGGAAGAATCTGTCATTATTATTATTATTATTATTATTATTATTATTATTATTATTATAAATCTAAATTTGGAAAAAGAAAGTGTTAATTTTTCTCGATGCAGCTTTATTCAGACTGGATAGGGTTTATTTTTGATATCATCTACCAATCTACAGGAAAGTGGCAGTCACGGCTTTCTTTACTGTTGAGTTGAGACGTTACACTGCATTCTTTACACTACGATGACAAATTTTGGTCATGTTTTTAATATTTAACTGACACAGAGGGTACAGTTCACAAGAGAAGAGGCATGCCTTAGCTATGTGCAGTCTGCATTTCGTCTCAACTACCACAATTGGTACCCAACTCTTCATTTTTCATATTTTCTCTCCAACATGGCCTTTTAAAGAAGAGAACGAGACATGTTGATCAGCATCAGTTGTTTAGGTACGTTTTACTTGTCGGTGTGTGTTTATTTTATTTTATTTTTATTTTGAGGAATAGAAACTTTTGTAAAAGGAGTTTGGTTATTCTATGTGTGCTGTCCCTTGCCAAAAGGGTTGTCCGGTCGAGTTATCGCATTTTGATATATTTTTTTAACCTCATGTCCTGCTTAAACGTTTTCGAAATTAAAAGGCTTAATCCTGCAATAACAAATATACCATATTTGATACCTGGTACAAGAGCACTCTGGCACTTAAAGGTACATTCGAACCGAGCATAGGTGGAGTGTGGATTCCCAGTAACACATGTAAACCACTTCTATTAGATTCTTATATGACTCAAATAAATTCGACATGCCAAGGGATAAACTGAATAGATCACTCGATCAGCCATAAAAGACCTTTAGACTGCCCCTTTCTTTAAATTTTTGGTTGTAAATTTAACCTATTTTCGTGACCTACTTTCCTGCCCCATGGACATACAGCTTAGAATGCCAGCAGAAAAATCCGATCAAACATCATTTTCGGGTAAAATTAAACAATGCCTCTTGGTAATTCTCTTAGTTATACTACTTGAAACTATATGCTGGCATTTGGTTGGTTTTTGTGACAAAAAATTGACTTGGTATGCATCTTTAATCCCAAGGCAAGTATGATTTACGGTTATGGCATGTTTGGTATTACAGGTAGCCTCAGACGAGTCTAAATGGAACATCATGCATGACTCTTATGTAGATTGCAAGGTAAGAAAACCTTTTTCCAATACATTACCTTTTGCACGGCACGGAAACCTTTATCCAATGCATTATTCTAGCAGCTGCATCTGTCTGTTGTCAGTTCAAGCATAACAAACAGCATCCATTACTCATTTCATATTGTACTATTAATACCAACATTTTGATCCGAACATCCGAACAACATTATACGTGCGTATTGCTACCGGCACCTTCATTTGTTAGTAATGTGGAATCATTATTTTGCACTGTGTTTTCTTATTGCTGTACAATGTTGTATTACTTCAATAGGGAGTAGCAATGTAAGGTGAGTGGGCAAATGATTCGATAGGGATTATGTTTCTAAACACCAAAGAACCAACAAATATATTTATCATATTGAAAAATAATAATAGTGGGATGTTTTATTCTACATGTTCGCCGTCCATATAGTTGATACTCTAAGTGGGTTCCGCTAGTAGCAAAGTGTGTGTGTGTGTGTGTGTGTGTGTATGTGTGTGTGTGTGTGAGCGTGTGTGTACACGGTTACAATAAACGTCCGTGGCGATTATATTATAATAGTAATGTTTTTCACTACTTCAGGTCAGAGATACTATCCCAGATGATGGAGGGTTATGATAACACAATGCAACCCACGATCGATGTCGGTATGTTATTATCCTGCAACTCTTATGAAGCGACAAATGTCTCTTCAACTACTCAACGTTAGGGGCGGGGATGCACATATACATGTAGGCCTACTTTTGGCTGGAGCAAAAAATCGAATGGATTCTTGCTGTTTTCACTCAGTCGTTGTCATATTTGAGTGAAATGGCATAAACCACGAACCAGATTATAGTTCTATAATAATGCATTCTGTGGTGGTGTTACCGAAAAATATTCAATAGACGGTCTCTTTTGCTGTAAATGGATAAAAACTAGTTTATGTCCCAACAAGAACATAAAGTCACTTCTCATAGACTACTTATGAAAGATTTGCATACATAAATGGCCATTTCATATATGCGTCTTGTAACAGGTTGGATAGCAGCAAGCTGCATAAAGCCATGCATCGGATGCAGTTATGAGTATATCCTTATCACATGCTTGGCTCTTCAGATTTGTGTGCCTTTTATGTGACATAGGCAGATAGACTTCCCAAACCCTCCTCAAACTGCCTTTACGTTGGTCTCAGACAATTTAATATAATCGATTCGCGACGCTTTTAACATGTTCATTACACAGATTATATAGAGGTAACCTTCGGGTTCCAGTGAACTTAAAGCTCAGGGTAACCTTCAGAAGAACCTACTTCAAAGTCAGAATACCATTTTATTGCTGTAAATTCAGCTTTAACATGACGTTTATGCTTTATGACACTTCTGGATAGGGATGCTCCATATAGCTGCTGCCTAAGTAGCGCTTTCTTGGTAAAAATCATTTACCTAAATGAACTAGGCTGATCGATTACTCGCATATATACAAAACAGGTTAATTGAACATATGGAAAAACAGTACCGAAGCGACGCTGCATAGGTTATTCTTAGTCTGCCTTTACTTACTACCGACTTACATGAATTGAGGCTGTTAGTAAAATTGAAAAAAAAAAAGATATTTTCAAACATTAGAATTACAACATTTTAAAATTATTTGTACATCCTTATCTTCAGATGAGCCCACCGTTATTGGAATGCAATTGTCCATCAACCGTATAAACTCCGTGGACGAAATTCAAATGGTAGAGTATTTATTGCTTGTGTGTGTCATCCTGATTGTTATCCCTCCTACTTCAACCATTTTTCATGTTCTTCAAATAAGCAGATCATATAGTAAATATCTCACTTCATTCAATCGATCTTTAATCGATATGATGGAATGCATTACCCTACAACTCTGAGAACTTTTTGAATTATTACAGCGAAAAAACAATTTTTCATTTAATATTAATTTTCAGTCTTCAATTAATATCTCATGCATTGGCTTGCTTATTGTCTTCACTCGATCGACAATATTGTCAACAATGTCTAACCTATCAAAGAAACTTATTTTAAATTTAAAATCTTTCTCTTTGTAATCCCAGGATATAACTTTGGACCTTGTCCTAGAGCGAAATTGGGAAGACCACAGGCTCAAGTTCGACGGTAGTCGGATCAACAGAACTTACATGGATATGGACCCCAGACACGCCGGGTTTATCTGGATACCGGATCTGTTTATCCGAAACGAGAAGTCGGCAGAATGGCATTCCGTAACAATACCCAACCGCATGTTACGTCTCTATGAAAATGGCTCGGTAATGTTTATTTCCAGGTTAGTATAACATTTAATCATTCATGCACATTATTTTATTTCATTTTGAATGAGCTTCCCGTAATTTTTTTATTTGACAATTTTTATGATAAAAAATATTACGGCTCAATCAAATTTCTGTCATAAACCAGCAATGCTTCTCCTAATCAAGAATGGTACATGGTTTCTTTTGGAACACGTGTTTCTTGTAGACTTATATCCTTGACATAATAAGAATTATACGGGATTCTTTATTCTTCAAAGCATTTTTCTCAAAACTTGCATTTCTTCTTGCCGTGCTGGTCATGTTAGTAAAATCACTTTGGCGCCCATTGTGTTTCAGAATCACTGTTACTGCAGCCTGCCCAATGGACCTATTTATGTTCCCGTTTGATACCCAGAAATGCCCACTTATTCTGCAAAGTTGTAAGTTCCGCTGGGGATATCTCGGTCGATTTCGTAACTCAGATTGAATTGATATTCGAAATTAACTGATGTTGTAGCGGTGCTGTTAGTTGCTATCTTGGAGTAGAGTTTTTTCCGATAATGCACGGCGGTGTTTTGCAATCAAATGATTCTGATTTTACTGACAAACATTGTATTATTCTATTAAATTGAACCAAAAATAAATACAACGTAAGTATATTCTGCATTTCCTTAATAAGTAATTGTTAAGAATTGCAACTCACTCTTCACAGCTACATTTGTGTAGACTTAGTTTCAGGGTGACTCTTAGCCTGACTATTTCATATTCAACGTTGGCCTGTTTTAACTATGAAACTAGATATTTTACTTTGAAGTACCACTTACCATTTTTGAAATACTAGGCTTACTGCTTTGAACGACAATGAATAATTAAAATACAACCGTCTTGGCGCTAAAACAAGACTATTTTGACCAAAAGATAATGCCTGGTCTATCTTTCAGATGCATTCACGGATGAGGAAATGCAGTATGAGTGGACAGAGGAACAGCTTGATGACAGGCGTCACGTAAAACTGTCACACTTTGACATTACGGATGTCAAGTTTACAAAATGTGCGACAAATTTAAGGGGAAATGAATACTTTAATGAGGGTACATATCTGTCATATCAATTCGAAAAGAACACATCTGAATGCTTCATATAATTTTTCGGGCTCGTAAGACGTGTCTGAGAGTAAAAATGGATTTCTATATTATTTTAAAATGTAGGCCTACCAGTAGGCTATATTAGCCGACATCTGAAATGTAATTCTAGTATGTGTAATATGATATTGCTCGAACACACAGTATATATTGATTATATTCTTTTCTTCTTATGCTTTATTCCATGACCAGGCCGTCGCCCGTGTCTCCAAGCAGAATTTGTCTTGCAGAGGGACGTGGGATACTACGTCCTAGAGGTGTATATACCTAGTATGGTCCTGGTCAGTATGTCTTGGATAGCTTTCTGGATCAGCAAGAACTCTCCCCCGGCCAGAGTGACCATAGGCTTGACCTCGGTGCTGACCATGGCGACAATGGTCTGTTTCGCTTGGACACATTTTTTCGCATTAGTATTTTAAATTTATATTGTATGCATTCTCTCTCTCTCTCTCTCTCTCTCTCTCTCTCTCTGAAAGTGTGATTTTATCTCATTTTCTATTATGGTTTGTGCAAAGGTTAAACGCGCTCATCAACAAAAGAGTGGGAGTGCACAAAAGAAAGATATGCTTTTCTCATCCCAACTTATGCTTTTCTTTAGCCTAAATATGGCCACGGGATTTTTTCTCCAATAATATTTTCTCATGTTGTGTATTTACAGATGGCCAGCTTAAACTCCCATCTTCCTAAGTCGTCCATGCTGAAGGCCATAGACGTGTGGCTGAATGGTTGCCTGACCTTCGTTTTCTCAGCATTCCTGGAGTATGCTATGGTCAGTGTCCAGATAGCGAGTACCGAGAAAAGAAAAATTGACAAGATTGAGACAGAAGAAAGTGAATGTAGACACAGTTATGAGGAACACCAAGTGAGTTGAACTTTAACGACTGTAGACACACTGATAACATTGTGAAAAGAATGAGCTTTAAAGCAATTTAATACAGTTAAGAAATAAAGTACATCTAAATTATATTCAGAAAAAAAGTAAGTTCCACAGAGAGTTAATAGTCTCCTATCATGAAGAAATGTGTGCAATTACGCATGCTTTTTATTTCATTTACANGTTTATATTGTATGCATTCTCTCTCTCTCTCTCTCTCTCTCTCTCTCTCTCTGAAAGTGTGATTTTATCTCATTTTCTATTATGGTTTGTGCAAAGGTTAAACGCGCTCATCAACAAAAGAGTGGGAGTGCACAAAAGAAAGATATGCTTTTCTCATCCCAACTTATGCTTTTCTTTAGCCTAAATATGGCCACGGGATTTTTTCTCCAATAATATTTTCTCATGTTGTGTATTTACAGATGGCCAGCTTAAACTCCCATCTTCCTAAGTCGTCCATGCTGAAGGCCATAGACGTGTGGCTGAATGGTTGCCTGACCTTCGTTTTCTCAGCATTCCTGGAGTATGCTATGGTCAGTGTCCAGATAGCGAGTACCGAGAAAAGAAAAATTGACAAGATTGAGACAGAAGAAAGTGAATGTAGACACAGTTATGAGGAACACCAAGTGAGTTGAACTTTAACGACTGTAGACACACTGATAACATTGTGAAAAGAATGAGCTTTAAAGCAATTTAATACAGTTAAGAAATAAAGTACATCTAAATTATATTCAGAAAAAAGTAAGTTCCACAGAGAGTTAATAGTCTCCTATCATGAAGAAATGTGTGCAATTACGCATGCTTTTTATTTCATTTACAAATTTACGAAAACTAGAAGCTAGAATGAACGAAAGTATCTATAAATATTAAAGGCTTCTTTGTCCGTTCATTTGTAGGTCACAAGAAGGGCGATGCTTCCTCACGATGTTGAAAAGATTTCCCGAGTGATATTTCCAGTTGCGTTTGGTCTCTTCAACTTGATGTATTGGGTCTACTATATGGTGATAGCGCCCGCAAACCGTGGGTGAGATTTGAATACTTTACCACTGCTAACAAGCAGATGATCTAGAGACAGACATCGCGGTGCTTTCAAGTGCTCGATCTTTATCAAGACACACCACACGCTCATATATAGACTTCATATTCATGGTCTAGAACGTCTACTATTTGCTATAGAACTCTACCTTCGATTCCCACCTTATGGACAGCGGGATTTCAAGTCAAAATCGACCTTGTTCTTACCCATCAGTTGACATCCTCAGCCCGGCAGAAGGTTCACTTTGCACCTATACAGTGAAGGAGACAAGACTCTGATTATCCATTATTCTTTCACATTTACCCTAGCACTTTCAATTTGATTCGGTAACGCTCAGAACAGTGGAAAAGAATCCCCGAACTTTCCATCGTGTTTAGGGGCCATCTCAAAAGTCTGCAAATCAAAGTTCGTAAACACGGTGCACGAACGATACACCCCCCCAAAAAAAATATAAACAAAATNATTTTATTTAGTCTAACCCAAATTCAAATGCAAGAAATCAATAAGGAGTTGTTGATATTTTTCAACTACCAAAAAAAAAAAAAAAAAAAAAAAAAAAAAAACCAAAGCATTGACCTAGATGTGTATTTCAGAGGGGATTCCCCTTAAAATGAGCAATGCCCATTGGCTGAAATGCTGGCCCATAGCTGATAAGGAAGTAACTTTCACTACTACACTGAACCCTTAGGAGTAATCAAAATGGACAAAGCAAGCACTAGACTTAGATTCCCACAAGGTACGATTTCCTGATTTTATCACAACTTATGTTCTATTTATGAGTCCAGAAGAGAACTCGGTCTTTAATGTTGTTTCAAATTCTGACAGGGACAGTTGTTGAAATTCTACATTTCCTTGTTTTGTTGAGGTGTGATTTGTCATTGTTATTTGAGGCATGGACTCGTGTCAACTTCTTGACCAGCGTACTGTTTTAGTTGAAAAAAATTATGTCATGGGCCAAAACTATATTTTACCTGATATAGACTAACTATTTTAGTAACTCAAAATAGTAATTCAATCAATTTAAAGATGAATAATTCTCAGAGATGTTATTATAATTGAGTTAATCAGTTTGAATTGTTGCCATAGGAAGTACAGAAAAAACTGGTATTAGATTTAGTTGAAATTGTAAATTCTTAATCAAAAGGTTGATAGTGTAATTGTTTAGATTTATTAAGTTGGCATGCATGGCCTTGAAATACTATCCTGTGTCAATAACTAAGAGTAATGAGTCTTTTGCATGTTAAAACAAATGTACTTGCTGGGGATACTGTACATTACCTGAAGGTACTACCTTTTTAATGAATCAGGAAGTAAAGGGGAATTTACTACTTATGGGAAAGTTTGATGGGGTATATTCATTTTTCTCACTTCTGTGTTTGTCCTTGGAGTCTATATAGAAACATATCACAAAAAGAAATATGTTCATAGTAAAATATACTCTTTGGCCATATGAAAAATAAAGAATTATGTCCATATGTTTAAGACTGTAAATTGGAATCACAAGGTGATGACTTACGTGGAGTCTGCTATGTCTTCAAGTGCTTGAGAGAGAATTTTTAAGTCTGGGTTGAAGACTTTAATTGTCTCCCTGAGCATCAATCTCAAGTTAACAGTACCAGTACTACAGGTGTGTTTTTAGAGGTTCTACTAAGCAGTTACCATGTACAGAGGACTTCACAAGTCCTTTCACAAGTCCTCCTGTGTGGACAGAAGTTAATGTCAGACACTGGCGTCACGTGGCGTTTGTTCATGGGGAGTGTGAATGGGTGGGGGTAAAACCAGGGGTGGACCCAGAGATATTTTCTGACATCCTTTCAAATTATATTTGTTGATCCATCCTCCATTTTTGACCATCTTCCTACAGAAAAAATTAGATACCCATCAATGTTAACTTGAAAATCTGACAGTCTTCGAAAGACTCGGAAGACAGCCTCAATCTGCCCCTGCAGAACTCTCTAAAATATTAGTACTTGATAGCAGGACAAATGAGTCGTCAGTCTCTAAAAACATACCAATACAGCTGTAATGTTGAGATATAATGCTTAATATGAAAAAGCCTTGTGTTCATGGACAGAGTAAGTTAAGAAAGCTTTACTCAATAACCTTTGTTATGGGCTTGTCTGTATCTCTTGATCAGCTATCTTAGTGGCTGATGACATGAGTAAAACCCTCAAAGTAATTACCATGCTAAGGTAATGTTTCCCCTGAGACTTAATAATTTAATTATAGCTCTGTGAGAGATTAAGGATGATGAGGGTACATTGTCTCAGTTCACAGGGATGGTTTCCCTTTAATTTGATTTAATATTGGTCGGCTTCACTTTAAAATAAATCCATATTGGTCCAGTTCAGTTAAGTAGTAAGTGTTATTCTGAGACATTAGCCATGTCTTTTGTGTTATAAAACAGACACAGTGTTTCATTAAGTTGGACTACTACATGTCCTGAATTATCTTGTGTGGAATTAGACTTAAATTTTGGTTTGTACTTTTTTGGCTAAATTTTATTTATTTATTTATTTATTTGTTTGGTTGTTTATTTTTTCTTGTTCAGGTATTTTTTGTAGGAAACTGTGCTGCTAAAATCTTGAAACACACAGGTTGTTTTTATGTCATTCATCCTATTGTTAAACCAATAATTGCAAATATGAAGAAACTGATGTGGAACAAACATCCTATGATCCAAATTGAAACATAAAATGAAGTGATCAATAAACTAAGTAGTATGTGTATAATTTGTTTGTGTGAGAGAGTGGGAGAGAAATTGTTGTCATCATGCTAATGCTATAAAATTTGATCAATTATTTAATGCAAAAACCCAACAGCTTCTGAAACTGAAAATTATCATGCTTAAAATTATCATGGAGAAAGTCTCCTCTCCAGGTTAAAATTGTGAAACCTCTGTAAACTGTAACCAGTTTATGAGAATACACCATTGTCATGGTCAAGAAAGAATTTATAAGACAAGATCTGTTTGACAGTAGCATGTCTTTTATGATTCTACTCTCACACCTTTAGCCAATTAGGAGAAAGGCATTTATTAAATGTAGACATTAATGACCTAATAACATGTCACTGTTCTTGGCATTTTCCATTTCCTTATCATATTGGATCCTTGTAATCTATGGATGAGTAGCTAGGTATATTGAGTGATGTTCTCACTATGCATTCTGATTTCCCAGATTTTGTATAGTATGAAAAGGGTATTGTCTCATTTTAGCATCTGCAATTTTATTGAGATTGGTTTCCTTTGCAGTAACTTTTTTTGATATCAATTATTTATCAACACAAGGCCTCACTCAGCAGTTATCAAATTTACATATTTTATTATTTTCCTCCTTCAGTGCCAGAAGAGTACCACCGCCTAATGGACGAAGACTTCAGTGGGAACTTGTTTGAGAGGAGCGACAGCAGTCTAAGCAGATGTTCCAATAAAAGTTTTGATGAAAGTAATTAATTAAAATGTGTAATGTTTGGACAATGCATTGTCTGAAAAAAATGTCTTCTTACGCTTTTGTTTGTGTTTCTTTAAGCTTCCTTTTAATGAAATTGCAAGCCTGTTAGAAATTTTTTATGTTTTCATCAAATTTGCTAGAAGGGATTTTATCATGCAAGTGAGGTCTGTTGCAAATTTGAAAAATTTACTTGTCATTTTAAGATACTCTTGCAGATTTACAGCGAATTAGCACCAAAAACATAAATAGAAGTGTTTAATCATATGCAAAATCTAATTCAGTCATTTTGAAATGGAGTATATGATAATATTTGAGTAAGAAATTTAATATAATATTTTTATACAAAGTATTATAAAATAAGTAAAATCTAGAGAATTATTAAATAGGTATTTTTCCTGTGGTTGTTTTAGTAATAACATTAATAACTTTGTTACAATTAACTGAAGAAAAAACATCATCTGATCTTTTACAGACCTTCCTTTGCCGCCACAGAATGTGGAAAATGATGAAACCTTGGACTACACCTACCATAATGTAGGTCAGCCAGCGTCAGCTCAGTCACTACAAAATGGCTACCACAAAGACAACCGAGACCAGAACATGAACGAAGACAAGCTGAAAGATATATCTTACGAAAATGAAAAATCCATCAAAGACATGCTGTCGCCTCTCTTCAGTGAGGCTCAGCCATCCTATCCTTGTCACCCAAATAAGAATCCACACCAGATGAGAAAAATGCACCCACAATCGCAAGAAAACGAGGAGTTAGACTACGAGAATGCACTGCCAGTGATGAAGAACAGGGTTCTCCCTCACGAGCCTCAGGAGTCTGAGTGTGACTTCACTGAACCCTCCACGGGTTATACACAGAGGCAGTCACCACAGTCCATTCAGTCTATGGGCAGCGAGGGGTCATCTCTAACCTGCCCAGAAGAAGGTATGACAGCACACCTTTCAGTTATTATTATTATTATTATTATTATTATTATTATTATTATTATTATTATTATTATTATTATTATTAAGATAATTATAGTTATTCACAAAAAATACATGAACACAATAGCCAAGTCTGCAACGTGACTCCCAGCCTCATCCAAAACAACAAAATTTTCAAAAATTTGATTTTGTGAATTGTTATTGTGTTAAAGAGAGTGCAGAAAAATGTACCAGTATAGTGGAAAATAAGAGGAAATAATTTGTGTACATAAGATGGTAAGAGCTCTGAATTTTTATCAATAATATTTATCAGAAAATCGAGCTAATCACAGTTTTCATGTGACTGTCGCGTATATTTTTTATTTTTATTCTTTTGATAAATTTAATGTTTGTTTTTCAAGCCAAGAAGTATGATAAACTGACCCAGTTTGCATACTCAGTCACCCCACATTTCTCCTACAAAGAGATAGTGGGCGCCACCGATGGGTTTGCAGACCACAACCTTCAAGGAAAAGGAACATTTGGAGAAGTGTACAAAGGCACTCTGAGGAAGACAGCATTTGCAATCAAAAGATTATTACAGGTATGAATATAATAGCATGCAGGAGGGGTATTGTTCTGTCATCTGGAAGCTAATTCATAAAGAGTCTTTGACTTAAGCTCAAAAAGATAGATGACTATGTGAAATTGACTAAGTTAGTAGTATTGGTCTAAGAGCATTTTACAAAAGACTTGCCATGATTAATATAATAAGTTAGGTATCCAGATGGGATATTTTCACTACATAGAAAAAAAAGGTAATCGTCATGATAATGGTAATTTGTCCCACAAGGCTCAGTTATAAATTACTTAGAAAAAAAAGATATTTCAGTGATGTCAGCTCTTCTTATTTAATTCCAGCAAAGACAGTTTGAAGGTGAGCAAGCACGTCAAAGACACCATCATATGGAGATTAAGTCTTTGCTCATGTGAGTTTATCTTTTTTGCCTAATTTCTGGCAATTATTACCATGAAAACTGACATATGCGAACACATTTTCTGGTTCAAAAAGCTTCTGAGTTATAGGAAGTCTACTGTTCTTTATAATAAATGTTGTTCCAAACAAGTGCTGCTCAATTATTTTACTGAAATTGCCGAACTGTCTTTTCCATGTATGCCCAATTCTTCAAAGTACTACAGTGCACCTATCTTGCATCATGCTGAACAGAATTTGTTTACATTTCCTCTTAGGTATCGCCATGACAACATAGTCCAGCTGATTGGCTACTCTCTGGATGGACCAGAAGTGTGCCTCATCTATCAGTTCATGGTCAATGGCTCCCTGGAAGATAGGCTGGCCTGTAAGGTGAGTTTGTAGGAAAAAAATCTGACCTTGACCTCACGGTCACCTTTGCCATTAATTCAGAATAATAGCTTAATGGCTTTATGGTAGACATTGTTTTTTTTTTTTTCACTTTTTTCCTGGATAAAAATTTTATTTAAGGCTTGAATTCCTCTTCAGGATGGTACTAAGCCCCTTTCCTGGCACCAGAGATGTTCCATATTGAAAGGAGCGGCGCGGGGCCTCCAATATCTACACACTGCCCTGGATAAACCTCTCATTCATGGGGATGTGAAGAGGTGAGGCACTGGACGTATTTTTTTTAATTATTTATTTATTAACCTTTTTTTTTGGGGGGGGGTGGGGGGGTGGAAGGGGGCCCATAACTTGTTTCTCTTTTATCTCCTGTGTTTTTGACATGTTCAGAATTGAATCCAACCTGATGAAACCGAATAAGTATTCAAGATAAAAGATTATTATTTTAGGCTCAGATGTACTTGAATGATGAAATAAAAGATGCAAAATGTTATGAAGATTCTGTAAGCTAATTTAATAGGTCAATTGATTATTTTCTTATCTCAGTGCAAACATACTGCTGGACAAACACTACGAGGCCCGTATTGGGGACTTTGGAATTGCTCAAGAGGCTCAGAAGGGGAGTGAGGGGAAATACACTCACATTACACAGCAAGATGCTGGTATATTTGGCTCTCTGGCATATGCGCCCCCTGAATTCCTTCGTAACTACCAGTTGTCAGTGAAGGGAGATACTTATGGCTTTGGAGTGGTACGTTTGTGACCTGTTGAGCTGTTGTCTTTTATAAAATCTTCACTGAAAGTTGTGATGGTGGTGTTAAATGAGATTATATATTAGTTTTTAGAGATAATTTCGGTTAGAAATTTGAGAATTATTGTTGAAAGTACACTTGCAGCTAAGACTTAAGTTTGCATTTTCATGTCTTTGAAAACTGTACTACAGCTTTGTGATTTCTATATCGAGTTCATTATTTTGTTTTTTTTTTTTGCAATTTTTTAGGTTATTTTTGAGGCATGTTCTGGAAAACCACCATTTGAGGAAAAAGAACACAAAGGGAGACGAATGACAAAATATTTGGTAGGAATCAGATGCTGTTGATGACTATAAAAAGTCTGGGTTTTTCAATTAGAAAATGTTGAAAAAAAAATGAAATTACATTAGCAAAAATGATTTGGTTTTCTTAAAGTGTATATTTAAATTATTTTTAGTAGAAAAAACAAATAGGTCCTTTAAATGATGTTACAGGATTTTTTTGCCTCTAGTATCAGATTTTAAAAAATCTGCTTTGTCATTTCTGACAAATCTTTCTCGTATTTTTCAGAAAGATCACATGGGAGAAGTTTTGGACATGGTGAATGATGACAAAGAGTTGCTGAAAGAAAAAGACCACAAAGCTGCTAATTGGCCAGATGACATATTTGTTGAGCTCATGAAGCTGGGTCATTACTGCATTATGCCCAAGAAGAAAGAGAGACCTGAAATGTCAGAGGTGTGGATTTTTAGTAATAAAAGTAAACTGTGGCTGTAGACATCTAGATGCAATGCCTGTTCAATGTGATCAATAGTCCAGGGATATTTAATTTGGTCTAAATTTTTAGACCTAAGTTTTAGTCAACTTTAGTTTGGGTAGTTTCATTGTCAGATAACTTATATGAAATTGGGAGATTCAGACCTTGTTTTGGAAATGAATAAAATATATATCCCTCCATTCTTCCTCCTATCTCAAGACATTTAATATAAAAGAATAAATTAAATAAAACGATAACAGAATAGAAAAGAACATATCAGCTTAGTGTCACAGAATCATTTTTAAAACGTGCAAACGTGTACAAGTTTTTACTTCTGAAAATTGAAGGGGAGGAATGCAAAAAAATTTGACTTCAAACCCCCCCCCCCCTTCATACAGTCAAACTGTGCCCTAGGGACTACCAATGATGAGACACATTTAACGTAAATGTGTAGTTTGTTAGTATTACCAGTAACTCAGTTATGACTGATGCCGTGTCTTAATGCTTGTAAGAAGTACATCAAGTTGATAAATTAATGTTGTTTTCTTTGAAATCTCTAGGTTCTGAAAAGTTTAGAAGATGTAGAGCTGAATGTTCAAAAAGAGAAATACTTCCAACACAGGAGGTCTTCAAAGGGTAAATAAGAAAAATTTAGTTTTTTATTCAAGATTTTTCTTTAAATGAAGTATTGCATCTTGCAACAAAATATTTCTCTGTCAATGCTTGTATGATGCAGTCAACAAATTCTAATGTGTTTAAAAATCAGATTTTTTATGTCAGTGTTTTTAAATAGAAATGATTTACTTAATGGTGTATTGGTAGCCATGGTGAACCCTTACTTTACTTGTAAGTTGAATTGTAAAAATTTTAAAATCCTTCTTTTTCAGAAGATGAAAAACCGGCTTCTTCTCACATGTCATATGAGGACACTTCAAGGTCTTTCCAAATGGACCACCATAGTTACGTGAACCCAGAGAAAAAGCTTCAGGAAGTTCCAGACTATGTAAATGAGAGCAGCATTACAAAGGATGCAGATGACCCAAATTTTTTCTACAGTGACCCAAAGAAATTGGCCGAAATAGAAAAGTTTGATCAGGGCAATATTTCACACTCTGCAGATGATGAACGTTTTTTGGCCTATGATAAAAAGAAAATTGGAGAAGACACTATAGGTGGCAGCACAGGAGGTGGTCCACGCAGCATGAGCCCTCTTGAATTGCAAAAACAGTATGATGTTGCAAAGGAAAAAGAGACCCAGTCTGGAAATTTTGTTACAGCTGAAAAACGGCCTGGTCTTTTGAGAACTTATAGTCCATTACAACTCCAAATGAGTTATGATGCCANCCCCCGAGGGGGGAGGGGGTGTCCCCCTACCAGTGTGGAAAATTCTAAATCCCATATAATTTTATGACAGATAGGCAGTCAGACGGACAGATAGACAGACATTAACTTATCATTAACAAGTAACTAAGGGATCACCACCAAAATCAATTTTTAAATGAAAACTAGTCCTCAGCTTTTTCCATTACGTTGCGATCAGTCAATCAGAAGAACAGACAAATAGACTTATGGAACCAAAAGCATTACGAGATTAATAGAGATATAAACAATTGTTGAATGCATTAAATAAAATTAGATGACAATCAGTTTAAATGTTTAATGCGCTGAGAACATCTAAAATGCATTTCAGAATCCTACATTTTACATACACAAACGGGTCACTGTTTTCTCTAAGTGTATTAAGTTTCATTGAAACAATCACCTGTCGCTCAAGGAGTTTTGTCAAAATGCGATAGGCGGTGTAACAGTTCCATGTATATATTGTTGGCGAAACGCCTCTACATCAATTCAGGCTAGTTTGTCTACGATTTTGCCTCAAATATCTCAAAGAGTTTTTGGGCCCCAGATGACTGAATTCTTACCTGAATGACCCCGCCCCCTTTGCCTCCAGAGCAGAATAGAAACTGCTCTGGCAAATCCAGCATCTTCCCCAACCAGTCCATCATAATCATCTCCAGTTCCGTGCATGCCGGATTGGCTGCCTGGTAAAAGAACATAAGTCCGTGTTTTCCTGTTATTGATAAGAAAATAACAAAAAGGTATTTGCTTCTCCCTGAGTTTCAGAGGGCTGGAAACTCGCCTCACTACGCGTACTTTCAGCATGCGTGGCAGGGACAAGCTGGTAACATAGAGGCGAGTTTCAAGTCACATATGGAACTCAGACTGCTTGGCTTAAATGTCTTTAAAAGTCTCATTTCTAATGGTATGGGGCAATGCATAAAATACAAGCCAGTTTCCAATACTTTCAAAGGCACAGGATTCGGTAGCTAGACGGTTCCAGGGGATGCACAAGCGATCACTCGTTATCCCCTTACCTTCTGAGGCACTTCCCACTTCTTCCCCAAATTAAGTATCACGGATATATCATTTTTATCCTTGTGCCCCCTACCCTCCCACCACCCCCACCTTTGTGAAATCTTGGGTCCGCCAGTGTACGGTAGAAAAATTCAGCTTACCCAGGTAAATCCAAGACCACCCATAGCATCGGAGAGCATGTCGGCACAGATGGCAGCGTAGGACCTTGCTGAAGGGAAATAGCCGTGGAACTGCGGGTGATTCCAATGCGCTGTCTAGTGTATTGTTTGAATTAGATTAGACACAAAATATATAAACCATGCCAAAAGAATATAATATAGAGATTATAAACCATTAACTTCTTAGCAGTAATGTGAAAAACAACACTTTATTTCAGATACACAATTTTTTCAGGATTATGATTTAAATTAGATTTCTGCGATTTACCAGCCTTTTCTCAAATGAGGAAAGCGGCTAAAATGAACAAATCCAGATTTTATTAAAAAACAATCCCCTTTGAACCAAAAGTATTGTCCACAGAGATTACATCTAAAAGGCATTAAAGCCAATGTGTTACTGGTACAAACCGACTGTATATTTTACCATGTGTATTTTATATTTATCCGCGTGGCGCATGCGCAAACGATAATTTACCTGTGCGCCTATAAGCACTTACCCCAGGCATAATTACCCGCTCTATATCACCAATAACGTCCTCCCATGACTCAGCACTTTCTGGGGCAGTTTCCGGAAGGAGCTGGCGCATATATCCGGGCTGTACTGCTGGATATACCGGACGTTTCTGCACATTCTCTAAGTAATCGGCCACCATGTCTACTATTTCTTTCCCACGAACTCGGAACTCTGCAGCATCCATTTGGCTGTTAATTGTCTATGATAAAATGACAAAGGAAAGCTTTCGTTTTGGTGACAACTTGACTAAAGAGATTTATTTAGTTTTTCATGTTGTAAAGATACGTTTTTTTTTTTTTTTTTTTTGTTCGTTTATTTCATGTAATTATATCTTGAATGCTTGTTCTTTAATTTTACTTTATGTAACCACACTGGATAACAAAGTTGTAAAATACCACAAAATGTGCCTTGAAATTTGTGAAAATCAACTAATCATGCTTGTCAAATATTGTTGTATGGTTGTGACCAATTGTGTTAAATTGTGTTAGAGGTGACTATGCAGTGGGTCCCTGTAGTGGTAAAAAAGGAGTGAAGTGAGTAGTTTTTTCCATGTTGGAAAGAGTGTGGATTCCATGCGGGGTGAAGTTGTGACATGTTTGTTGGTCACACGTGGTTTGAATGTAATGTAAAACTGTAAAATAAAAAAAAAAAATTGAACAAGCGCAAGTTTTTATTTACTTTTAACTTCAACAATGATTATATACTAATTCAGTCTGCCTTTTCACTAAACGACACCTCTTGGTAAATTTTTTAGTTTATGTGCTTGGCACTTACTAGGGCATTTCAAATGTTGCAAAAAAATAAAAAATAAAAAAATCCATTATAACCAAACACAGCTCCTTGATAAATTTGGTATAAAACAAAAATAAGCATTAGCAGTTATGGGATGAACAAGAGATTGTCGGGTGAGTTACCATTTCACCAACACACTCCCATTTACATTCTAAATGGCATATCTCGGATTCTACTACAGGAATGAAATACTGGCATGGTGCGGTCTTGTGTGACCAATACATTCTCCGGATGCTAGGCTACAGAACCCTTCTACATATTGATAACGCACGTCTTCAGCGTGCAAGAGTTGCCAAAGATTCCCCTTCCACAGAAAGGACTGGTTTCTAAAACTGTACCTTCTTCAAACGCCTGGTCGTAAATTGGCTTACCTACCCGTCCCTCCAGTCCATAAAATTCCGTCAAATGGCTAACCGGGTAGGATACATGTACAGCTATAATGTAAGGAGCATTACTGCTGCGCGCGCAGTTATCAATTCTTAATGTTTTGTAATTTGAAACTATATGGTTGGGTTAAATGGCAAAATAAATTTATCTTTTAAGTTTACGTGCCAAGAATAATATCTTCAGCTGCAGGTTGATGAACTTTAACGCACCACGACCAAACCTGTTTTATTTTACAACTAAGATGACTAAGACTCACGCAAAGAAAATATTGCTGCACAGAAACATGCAGCACGAACACTACTTTATGCAAATGGCATTTTCATGAACATTAAGTAGAATGATGAGCAGTTGATCTTTCATACTGAATTTTAAATTTCAACCTTCTTTTTTTCAGTAAAGGATACAATGATTTAAGAAAGGGGAGATGAAATATGAAGCAAGAGCTGTTAATTCTGTTAACAGGCACGGTTTATGCGAATCCAATGTTAAAAATGGTCTCTAAAGAGACTTAATGTCGGTCACTCGTTTGGCACGACGTTTCGACCCTTCGCACGAGGACCTTGATTACATTTAAGAATCTATGAAGATACTCTTTTACGCGCTTACGAGTAGCATCTGTTTGTGACTTCTGTAACTACTAAATACCTTGAGGAAAAATCGCAATAAAGGCCACGTTCTCTTAAAACCAGAGATCACATCAACTAATGAATTGAACTTATTTCGTATACTGACCCCCATTCTAAAATTACCTGTTCAAATCGCCAGTTTTCCGCTAGAAAGGGGTACGCCTACAACCTCCTTCGTTGACAGACAATCATTTGTGAAGACGGAGGTTAGATTATTGTAGCACAAGGGTGCGCGCCAGAAATACATTCGTTTTGGATTACCCTCTACCACAGGGCCACAGGTTGATTTGTCACTAGATATTCACAGATATGTATTTGGTTAAATTGAAGGTAATTCCCTGCACTGTGTTAGAAAAGTCCACATTATATAATATGCGGTCCTGGTAGATAGTAATTTTGGCTTGGAACCGTGTAATCTGGTCTCAGTTGTCCTCAGGAAATTGAATGGCAAACATGTAATTTCCATAAAAATATACACCTAACATATATTTACGCATAAATGATGTTGACTCTCACCACTATTTCAGCCTAATTATACACTAAGCATTTTTCTAAACGCATCCCTTTACTGTGGAGAATCATATTGATGCATTTAAATACAACCAAAATGGCTTTAACAGTCAGAGAAATAATTTCCACTAAAATTGGCTCAAAGTATTGAATCACCTGTATTTATGAGCTCATTACAAATTCTAGCTGTTTTGCTGATTTAAATGCCAACACTTAGGTATGGAAAGCCGTTTGTACAAAAAAGATGAAAGTATCATTTTGATCAGAAATTTTTTTTGCGAGGTGCTCACATCATTTTGAGATCGTCACTTTCATCTTTTTGACCAGAAATTATATTTTTTGCGAGGTGCTTACACCATTTTGAGATTGTCACTTTCTTCATTTTGAGAGAAAAGTATTTTTTCCAAAGTCGTTTTATCATTTTGCATGTCGAGTTTATCGTTTTGAGATACCGACATGCTTTGCGCGAGATGACGCAATACCAGGGGTTTCTCAAGTTGTTTGTCAAGTCCAACGAAAATATTTTGGCAATATGTTTTCAGCGAATCATTTCGATCCTTGGTCTAAATTTTGAGCTGTGGAGACCTTTATTTTGCAAGTTGTATAAGATTTAGGTGGCCATGAATAAACTTGATATTTTCATTACCTCTGGTTGTTTTTCCCCACAAAAAGGAATAACAAAGCTGATATGATTTGAATGTTGTCACGAAACCAATTGATTTGAATGGACATTTCAATGATACACAGGGTGTTACTTTTCCATTTTTTTTTTCAGTAGATATATATTCAATGTTCATTGACTAAATTAATTAACATATACACTCATGTTGCGATTTTGGGGTAAAAATTAAAAAATCGGTTCCCCAAAGTTCTCCTTCACCAGATCACTCCCGAACACGGTTCAACGCCAATTTAATGACACCATTTACTACTCCAAAACCCTACAAGCAATTTTTCTTAAAAGCCTTAGTTCCGATTGCATTGTTGATAAAGCAAAATACCGCCTTTGTTTCACGAAAATATGTAATTAGGGGCTCATAACTCCATAACAAAAAAAACATTTAGACCAAAATGACGGCACGGGATTGCAGCACATAACTTGCGGTTAACTATGCCAATTGTCATGATAAATTCTTGTTCAGGAATGAAGTTACGCCTCATACTGATTGCCATCTCACCTGGATCCGCCCCATATATAATTTACCCCTTCAAGAACATCATGGAATGTTGGGTTCTTACATCTTCAGCGGGATTTATCTATGCAAGATTCTAGGTGCTCTAATCCGACTCACGAAAGTCTTGGTATCGGCAAGAGGTATCCCCGGAGAGAAAAGTTACGTAACACCGCAACATCGTTTCTAAAACCGAAAAATAATTTATTTGCTAAACATCGTCTGGTTTTATAGAAGAAATCGGCAGGACAGTAATTACAAAACCGTAAATCAAGTATAGAATATAATTTTATTCAACTATCACGTTCAATTATGAACAGTTGCATTCAATTCCAATAGGACTTAAAAGTAATCATTAATGAATTACGTAAATGCAATGGATTAAAAAACGGTAGTGTTACTGAAAGTTTATATTTTCCATTCGTCTTTATCATCTAACAACGAAACGCAGATAGTCCGGTAATGCTGGTTTTATGGTCGGAAGTTGGTACCCGATGCTCTCGGGCCGTGGGGAAAAACCCGTCTAAACCCTTCTTGGGGAATGCCGGGAAAGTGCCCACGCCCGGATAACACGAAAACATGTTTTTACAGCACCTTATAAGTTCAAGAATATTGTCCTGTTTTAGACAGCATGGAGGAACTGAATAAACTTTCGTGACTACAAACTATTCTCCATACATACTATACAAGATAAACAAATTTACCAAAGTAATTCATACAGAAAGAGGCACTAAAGCCTTTCGAGACATTTACTAGAGACTTAACACGAGACTAGTTTAAACTTTATCCAGGGAGATGAAGCCATAAATAAAGTCGCTAAATCCTGAAAGCATCTTTTAAAACTCGATTATAGTTATTTCTAACGAAAACATATATAAACAGATCATAAACAGATTCAGGTAATATGACTATAACTCAATGATTTAAACTAAACTTAGATATAACTCGGTATAAAATACAAATTTCTAAAATATTATTTTGCCCTGAAATCGCCACTACCTATATGGATACAAGTAAGGAATAAAGCAAGCTTGCTTCGAAATATTTCATACCTCACATCACTGTTTGACCGTCCATGCAAGTTTCAATTTGAATTTGGTCGATCCGGAGAAAAGGTGCATATATGATGAAGTGGATATATTTGTCAAGTATAACATTTGAGAAAATCTGAATGTTAGTAATGTGATCTCTATCTTAAGAGATGATAGCATCTCTCAAGTAGAGCAGACTGTGCAAAAATATAATGAAATATTTTTTCACATGTAAAATATTTCATTGCAGTTTTTCCACAGGCTATCAATGTAAAATCTCTTCATGTAAAAGCGTTTACATCAAGTCAGATTTTACAAAGATTCGTGAGGGTTTGTTAGTAAGGTTAGTGTGCAGGTTAAGACCTTCTCAAATGCCATACTGACAAACAACTCCACATCATCAAAAGCACAAATTTCAGAAAAGACTACTGCACTAAGATTGAAACAAAACACAGACGACCATAAGTGGTGGAAATACGAATGTTTTTGTGAGCAAAAAACTATCTGCATTTAGAATGTGGATGAAGCAACTAAATATTGAATTTTAATCATTAATATAATTATTTTAAATAGTAACTGTACAGGTAGACTTTAAAAAATTTCATACCTAACCACGCCTCATCTTATTCAATTGGAATGCATGGAATTAAGAATGATCATTCAGACCTTCAGCCATTGTAATAAAACTTCACTTACATAAGTGAAAAATAAAACTTAGCGCAATTATATTCGACAAAAGTTTGTGACCAATGAAACCCAAATATTTTTATTATCCAAAAGCCTCGAGTCCATTATTAGATTTTATTCCTATTATACTCAGCATATTGCTCTTCATTACCATTGCACATTCTTTATATTCGTTTGCAGAGAAAGCTGTATCCTTCAAAACCAAGACTGCTAGGACGTCCAATCATCAATGAAAAGTGGCTACAGGGCTCCCGTGCCAGCGCTATGAAGTGTTTCACATCTTGAATATTTGGTATATGGTTGAAGTTGTTTGCCTTCGCGAATCATTTCTGGAAATCCCTTTTCGTAGCCTACAAATGAAATGTTATATGTTCACTTAAAAGTAATAATGATTTATTTCACCTTGTAATGTTACATGTTAACATTGATGGCTGTCCATGCTACTTTTCTGCTTTTTCTTTATATATAATTTAATTATAATTTAATTATTTAATAACCAATTTAGACACTTGGCTATCAGAAAACACAAGTTAAGGGATGCGATGTTTAGGAATGTGATGGGCGCTTTTGCCAATTCTGTATATACAGACACTGCTCTAAGATACAAATTTGAATAGGACTGGCACAGTTAAGAACTGCTTTTCTTAAAGTTGTCGATCCCTAATAACTTACAAACTTATCTTGCAAGAAGATCCCTCGCTCCTGAAGAAGAAGTGTTTCATCTGGTGGTTTGGATGTTGCAATCGACATTTTTGGAAACCTCCACTTTTGGTAGCCTGCAAATTTAATTTATAATTTTTAAATGTGATAAAAGCCAATAATTGCAATACGAAATGCGTTTTAAAAGTTTAATCGGTTTGATAAAGAATAGATCAAGAGCACTTTTGTCACAAACTCTGAAAAAACTGGTGACATTCAGACTTTTATGTGACACAATGGAGTACGGCAAAATTTAAAGAGTTTTAACGAAAGAAAAGGAACATTGCATTTGCGGTAACGGACCAGGAAAAAACATCGCTTGGGAGAGTGCTAAGATTCTACAAAAAGAAAGTGACTGGAGAACAAGACGCATAAAAGGAAGGAACGTATTTTGCGTTCCCAAATAACATGAGTTACATGTACCTTTTAAGGCTTTCCATCTCAGTGAAACGCCACATGCTTCTGATGTTCTCCCATGCAGCCACCTTATAAACAGACCATGGCAGGACTAAATCATGCACCAAGGACTGATCGAAGTAAACAAATGTGCCGCTCTTCTTGCACTTCTTTTGAAAACTGGGAACTATCAGGAGTTGCTATCATCGAGTTCTGTAAATAGAAACGAAAATGGAATTAGTTTTCAAAATCAAAAGCAGTCTGCGACCCAGTACATTCCCAGAATGTGTCAATTTAGTAACGTGGTTGTTATATTTTTTCTAGAAGTTTCTTTCAAAAGAGCTTTAGATTTGATTTAATTTTTTTCATTAACTGTTAAATCACAATTCTAAAAATGACAAGGTCTTGTTAATACAAATATTAATGCAATCCAGTCCAGTCCTATTCAAATTTGTATTTGGACCAGAAAATCCAGATTCAGACTTCTAGATTTAAGGAAAGTAAGGCGGTCCAAACGGCCAGTAAGGTGAAAAGTTAATGGCACGGACTACAACTAAAAGAAAATCATTTTTGTATATTGCTCTCCCCAATAACACGGGTTACCTTTTAGGGTTTTCCATCTCATTGAAACACCATATGACAGGACTCGCTGGACGCTTCCCCAATGCAGCCACCTCGTAGACAGACCATGGCAGGACTCGCTGGACGCTTCCCCAGTGCAGCCA